CTAGCATATGACGAGAATCACAGCTAGAAAGAACACGTCGGTTTCGGAGATCTCTATTTAATCCGCTGGTCTAGGCAAAGGTAGGGGCTTGTGAAGCCCTCTAAGCACCTTCGTCGAAGATTTCATAAACACGCGTACCAAAGGACTAAGGACTTAAAGGAATCGCCCACGGAAAACCCACTTCTTTTCACCACCCGTAGTTGCGCAACATGTAGCTAGCAGAGGCCATGCGCGAAGTTCCGCGCGCGAAAGCCCTTATCTCGAAGAGTAACAAACCTTTGGGAATGTCCACCCAGCCGGCCAGCTGGACACGTAGGCGGAGCCAAAAAGGCCTTTGGAACAGTTTGCGCGGCAACACGGCAAATGCCACGGCACGGTGTGAACTGGTGCATCGTAGGGAAAAAATTCGCGATCTGCCGTGTCAGGTCAGGCGTGCAACTCTATGTACTGGCTCGCCAGAGTTTAAACATCAGATTTTGACTGAAGTGCTCGCGTTTCCTGGTTCCACGGCAACCGATGTGTTACAGTTGCTAACTCTGCCCTGACTTATTATGTATTTGATGCGATGTGATGACTGCGATGCCAATTTGTTGGGAATTGCAATCAAAATTGGCTTCGCCAGAAAAGCCAGCTGAAGGAGCTCGGACAGGGTACAATAGCGGTAGGTCAGATAAAGAACTCGAGCCAAATTGGGATCCGTCTGAAGTGGGTGCGCGCGTCCGTTGATAATTCGGTGGCAGGGTGGCTTAAAATCCGGGAATATATCATTCGAGGTTAGTTGGGAATCATCGGATAAGTTGAGGGAGACGCCCCCATCGTCGCGTCGCTGAGCTTGCAATGCATACTTCACCACGACTAGGGAGTTACGCTCTGCTCCTCCGGCCAACCACTATGGTCTTGACCACCTCTAATGATCGTGCTGATACTGTCATTTTACCGATTCCGGAGCTGTACCGCGAGGCAGCTTCTTTTGAACCTGGCCTACCAGTGAAGTAAGCGGACTACTAACCGTAAATATCATTCTCTATCAGTCGACCTGAAAGTTGCTGATAGCCAATGATGTTAGTCGACCAATCTGTCTCTGACACTGGGCTGCAAAATCTGAATATAGGGTGCGGGACGCTCGACGTTCGACGCTACTGCGACGCGCGGTCTTGGTGCGATATCACCGACGTGACGCATTATGCAACTTCTTGCTCGCCGTACTTGCTGCCATATAAAAGTAAGGTAGCGTTCAGACTTGTAGCGCTACGTAGCGCGACATAGTGCGACGTAGCGCTACAAGTTTGAACGCTGCCCGTCCGCCTCCTTTTCTTTGGAACATCATTCTCTGAGTAATTTATGCAAAAATGAAACGCGAAACTTCCTTGAATAGCAGAGGCACATCAATCAATAGTATTTATAAAATACAATTTGAGGTTCAGTATCACTCATATTGAGCACATAAAAGGAACACAATGGTAAGCCTCATTGATTAGTGAGCATTCCAAATAAATATGTTGCCACATCTGCCATGAACTCCATCCGGATGCTGAAATGAAGTTTACGTTGAGTTCACAGCAAAAATTTCATGTTATGATTGAGCGTAATAAATATCCTACGTTCGAGTAATACTTGGAACGCGGTGTTAACGCATTTGGGAAGGGACTTCTCATGCTGCACACTGCTCATTTGCTCCCTGCTCGGCGAAATGGTATCCCAGGGTTTGCTAGGACACAGGGTTTTTTTCGATGTAACTCCGTAATTTCAGAGGTAGAAAAGAACATTAACACTGCACTCCAGGTAGTGTGATAATCCAACAAGGCTATGCAATAAACGGTGAAAAAGGCGAACAAGCAGTTGCAAATAAGTGGATGAAAAACGTCGCCTCTGCCGTGAAGGGATTGACAATTCCTTCGTGTAAAATGACACTTTTATATGTCCCGGATGCCACGAACCTAGACGTACCCCTTGACTCTGAAAGCCCATATTAGAATAGAAAGGCAGAAGGTCAGCAGTAAAAGCATGCTTTCCAACCTTCCTATTCGAGGATGATCACTTTATCTCTTGAACATGTTAGAAATCCTCAATCAGCTGTTTCTATCACTATTTTGGCGAGGAGGGTGCAAAAGGGCAGCGTGTCGCGTGGTTCTCCCGCCCAAACGAGTTAGCACCTAGAATGCTAATTCATTAACGAACTGACGACTATGATGCGAAGTGAACAATGCTCTATATGAGAAGAGAACTCGAATTCCTACACAGTGACTTCTTCAATACAGAACTACATACCTTGCTACCGGCTATCCTCGAATCGAGATAAACGGCGTTGAAAGCATTTGTAGCCGCACTCAGTCCCTTCGACTCGGTTCCTCCTGTTACTAGTCGCGTCCACTATAGAGAATTCTAAACATAACGTTCGTTAACCTAACAAACTGCGAACGTTAAACATACCACTGATTGTTGTATAATGAATAGCAAAGAAATCAAAGGAAAGGGAACCACAGTCGCTTTTTCTGCAGACGCTAAGGTGGGTAAGGGGTGCAGGCTTCGGCGCGGTGGCAGCCAGCTACACCAACTCGAAATGCATTCTCGAAAAGCGAAGTTATAGGGTAGTTCGCTGCGGACGGTTGGGCGTGCCAGGCAGTTTGAGTGTGAAAGAGAGGTGGTAAGGAACCAAGGGAATGGAATCATGTCAAAAATGATATCATTACGATGGAACGTGTTGTGATATAGATCTTACCGGTTCACGTGGCGTTTTTAGCAGCTCAAAGCTGTCTGACTGAGATTCCACCTTTGCCTGGCGTTTTCGTCTCTTTCATCAACCTGGAACGAGAAATACAACATAAGAAATAGATACCAAACGAAAATCGCATATGCGGACTGCGCACGTTTGAAGTCCGAAGAAGAAACGTAGAGTAAGGACAACGGTAGATAAACGACGAAAATTCATAACAGATTGTAATACATTACTTAAAAATAGGAAAAAGAAATAAATGATAGCGGAAGAGTGACTATTGATTGATGCGAAGACAGGACGCCAAATTTTTTTGCGACGTCACACCAGGCAACGCATAGAGACAGCGGGAAGTTGTGAGAGTTTTACGGCGGGAATTTGAAAGGGGAATATGAATTTCGTTTTTTTTTGGAATTTTTTACGCTATTAACCAATTCCTTTTTGCTTTTTCTGCTATTCTTGCGCAGAACAGAGCCCAATGTGCTGATTTTTGGGGAAAATGGTAATCACGCGATTTCCGTGGGCGATTCCTTTAAGGCAGGAGTTGAAGGCAGTGGGCGAAGCAGCAAGGTGGTGTGCAGACTGCGTGTAGAGTGGGGGGGAAGTATGGAGAGAGGAAGACAGCTCAACCGCACCGTACTACTAAACAACACCGTACATCTAGTCGGCTGGTGGACGTTGGTTGACGCTGGTAGACGCTAGTTCTTAACCACACTTTCCTATCCCTTCGAGACGCTGATGGTTAATGGTGAGAGTTCCGATAGAGAAAGTAAACAACTAGAGCAAAATGATGGGCTTCTTAGCGAGTTGGGACACTTTGGAGATCAAGCTCAGAGAATTTTCTTAGTTGAACTGCTAGCCCAATAGCTTGTTAATCACGCTGATGCTTCACAATCTACCACTGTCGTCCCTTGGATGAGTGCTATCAACGACATTCTACCCCTATTGCACACTGAAAAGCTGAAATGATATAGGCGTCTGGGAAATGAGTACTAGTAAAGTAAATAAAGTTCTCATAGTAATGGCAGCTACTCATATAAATTACGGCTAGATATAAAGTGTCGTAAGCAGAGCGAGCTATTATATTAAATTATGGCGCTATTTTCTATGGACTTTTGCAGTGTCAGGCCAGCTTAATAATAGTTTACGGCAGAAAGGCACTTTTAGCTCCCTTGCCCGTCCCGGATGGAAGCAGTTACGGGAGTTAAAGAGAAATAAAGGCAGAGTATAATACACAAGAAGTCGTATGTTGTATATTGGTGATTAAAAGCCTCTTGAAGCTAGAAAAA